CCCCAAAACCCCAAAACCCCAAAACCCCATCATACTTATTAACCATATTATAGGTGATCAAATAATAGTTATATTAAAAATTAAATTTGTAAAATGGAAGTAGCTTAAGAGACTAAAATTGTAGTTCCTGATAAATAAACTATAGAGGAAAAACTATTTTAAAACAAGAAGAGAACTTATTAAATGTTTTTGGGTCAGGTTGATGAGAGAGTCCCTGAGTAAGAGGATATTGTCAGATAAAAGTTTGAAGGGAAAATAAAAAAATACTATACTGATATCGGAAAGGTGCCAGGCATTTTAACAGAGGAAAACAAAAGGCGCAAGATTCTTAAGGATCTAGGCATTTCTGAAAAAATTGAGGAGTAAAAAGTAAAAATAACAGAAGAGATCAAAGAGTCTGAACCAAAGATAGAAGATGTTACTGGACAATTGCCAGCAACTACAGCTATATCTAATTAGGCTTTGAATAGCATTTAAAAAGAGTAAAATGATGTGCTAAAGATGATTCCTGAGAAGTACAGAGTAAAGGGGGAGCAAAGTCAAAGCAACTCTACAGCAGTTAGTTTAGTTAATGCACTATCAAACAATTAAAATGCAATCGCTTTAAGGCAGAGAAAGATAGTCCATCCATAATGGCATGCTCCTTGGAAACTTATGAGAGTTATTAGTGGGCATATGGGATGGGTAAGATGTTTAGCTGTCGACCCAATGAATAGATTCTTTGTGACTGGATCTAATGATAGAACGATTAAATTCTGGGATCTAGTAGAAGGAAAATTGATGGTTACCCTCACAGGCCACATTAATACTGTAAGAGGACTTGCAGTATCTGATAGACATCCCTATCTCTTTTCATGTGGAGAGGACAAGAAAGTGCTCTGTTGGGATCTCGAATAAAATAAAGTAGTGAGGCATTATCATGGACATTTAAGCGGAATCTATTCTTTAGCTCTGCATCCTGAACTTGATCTACTTGTCACTGGAGGTAGAGATGCAACTGCCAGAGTCTGGGATATGAGAACTAAAGCTTAGATTCACTGTCTAGGAGGTCATTCTAATACTGTAGAGGATATAATTTGCTAAGCAGATGAGCCTCAAATTATTACTGGCTCTCATGACAAGACTGTAAGACTTTGGGACATCAGGACTGGTTCAACAATAAAAACTCTAACCCATCACAAAAAAGGTGTCAGATCAATTGTAATGCATCATGATGAGTATACATTTGCCTCAGGAGGTTCAGATAAAATTCGTGTTTGGAAACTTCCAGAGGGTGATCAGCTCAGAAATATTCCTGATCATAATACTGTCGTTAATTCTCTAGCCCTTAATAAGGATAATGTCCTTGTATCTGGCGGAGACAATGGAACTTTGTATTTCTATGACTGGGCTAGTGGTCACAATTTCCAACAAATAAAAACTCCAGTCTAGCCTGGTTCACTCAGCTGCGAAGCAGGTATATTTGACATTAAGTTTGACAGAAGTTCTTTGAGAATGATTACAGCTGAGTGTGATAAAACTATCAAAATCTATAAAGAAGACGAAGAAGCCACTCAGGAAACTCACCCTATTATTTTCAATAATCAGAATTACTGAAGCATTAATTAATTTTAAAACCAATTAATTTCTTTTAAATAATACCATTTGGGGTTTTGGGGTTTTGGGGTTTTGGGG